CCCCAAAACCCCAAAACCCCAAAACCCCAACCATATATACAAATTTTGAAATATAGTTAATATAATGGAATCAATTCTACCAACTGACGGAATCCCATTTGATTACAAATCTCAGTTTTTGGTTAGCAAATCCAATCAAACTGTTGTCCCTTTGTATTTTTCAGAGAATGAGGTTACTATCCACAACAACATCGCTGAGATCAAGTTCATTCAATACTATTTCAACAAGAAAGAAGACCCAATAGAGGCACAATATTTGTTCCCAGTCCATAATGACTGTACTTTCACAGACTTGGAGATTAGGTATGGAGACGAGATTGTCAAGGCTTCAGTTGAAGAAAGAAGAAAAGCTAAAATCAAATACGATGATGCAGTGGCTCAAGGAAAGACAGTTGCTATGGCTCAACCAGCTATAAGTTCAAAAGATATGATAAGGTAATATCTTTGCTTGGAGAAATTCATCTAACATTTTTGGTAGAATCGACATGGGAAATCTTCCACCTAAAAGTGAAATGATTGTTGTGTGAACATTTCATCAAATCATGGATGTTGGTAAGTGCTAATTCAATCGCAGAGTTGTATCCTTGATGCTTGATAGCCAAGAACATTGACGAATGCTTTTAGATGATTGTAGTTGGAAGCTTCACATCCCATCTAAGATTATGCCAAGATACATGGGAGATCTCACAGAGTATGCTGAAACTGGTAAGCATCTCAAAGGGATGGTACAAAATCTGCACAAGGACACACCTGAAGACAGACTAGATGCTATTTTTGAGCATGTATCTTCATATTACAACTCACCTAGTTTCAACTGGAAGATCACAGTGAATATCAATTCACAAAGCCCAATTCATAGAGTCATTAGTAAAAGCCATGATATCAAAGTTGGATTTCAAAATGAAGATTCTTCTAAAGCTCATATCGAACTGACTGAAGCTGGGCTTGACACATTCTTTGACAAGGACTTCATCTTGATGTACCGAAATAATGAAATCAACAAGCCAATGCTTCTAATGCAGAAAAGAGACAAAGAATATGCTCTCATGGTCTCCATGCTTGCTGATATGAATCCAGACCAAAAATGGGTCCTCCCAGAGGCAGATACTACTGGAGAGCTTGATGTTGACTCTGAAATAACTTATGAAAAGGAAATCGAAAGCGATTTGGAGCCGGCAGAGTTCCTGTTTCTGCTGGATAGAAGTTACTCAATGACAGGAAGACCAATGGAAACTGCAAAAAGCGCATTGATCTTGTTCCTTCATAGTCTTCCACCGGAGTCGAAGTTCAATGTTATATCATTTGGTAGTGATTATGACATGATGTTTGAGTACCCAGAATCCTATACACAAGAGAACCTGAAACATGCTACTTCATCGATCAAAACATTTGAAGCTGATATGATGGGAACTGAAATCTTGAGTCCTCTCCAGCATATCTTTGAAAACAGATCTGATACAGTTCTGCCAAGACACGTATTTTTGCTCACTGATGGAGCAGTCTTCAACCCATCAGAATGTGTGAGGTTGATTGGTATGAACTCGGATGCCTTTACTCTTCATACCATTGGAGTCGGAGACTATGTGAGCACAGAACTTATTATTGAATGTGCAATTGCTGGCAATGGGATGCACTACTTTGTCCAAAATTTTGCTGAAGACTTAGAAGAGACTGTAATTGAAAGCTTATGCAAATGCTTTGAAGATAAAGTTGAGATTACAAAGAAGGATCTTTCTGTGAATTACAACAAGAAGGATGAGTTTCCGGACTTGGAATCGGTGCCTTCAAGAATTTACAATGGAAAATATTTCACCTACCTCTGTATTCTTGATGGAGTAGATGATAAGCTTGAGGGAGCATTCTCTTTTGATTTAAAATCAAAATCAGGAGGAATTCAGAAATACTCCTTCAACATGGAAAATGATGTCCACCAAATTGAAGGAGACTCCATATTCAAGTTGTTAGGAAACAGAAAAGTTAGGGAGCTTGAAGATAACAGAGCAGATAAGAGATATATTATCCCTTATGCTATTGATTATCAGGTTCCTAGCAAGTATACTGTTCTTATTGGTAAAATTGATCCATTTAGATTCTTCATTTTATTCAATTCTCCAATTCTGATCAAATCCTATAGCTATGAAGAAATTAGTTGTCGAACCTGACACAGAATACTTGAAGATCAAAAAGGATGTCGAAGGAGGTATAATCTCATCTTTCATCCATCACTTCTACTTCATCTTGCTGATAACTCTTTAATCTCTTAGTCAGCCCAAAATTATTTGGCTAAAGTCTTAGACATTCTTATTCAACATAAATTTTTACTTTTCTAAAGTTAGTCACTTACTCTTATCTGACAAAGATTTTCCTGGAGAAATATAGGATTTGAAATACTAAATTTAGTGCTAATGATATACAATAAGAACGATTAATAATTTATGATACCTAATACCTTTCCATTAACTTCTAGTAAAGGAAAATACTCATAATTGTTTAGGAGATATTGAGATTTATGTGAAGACTCTGACAGGCAAGACTATCACTATTGAAGTCAATACTGCAGACACTATTTTTGATCTGAAATGCTTTATCCAAGATAAAGAAGGAATTCCTCCAGATCAGCAAAGACTCATCTATGGTGGCAACCAACTAGAAGAAGATGCGACATTGAAAGATTATGGAATTGATGATGGAGAAACTCTACATCTTGTTCTCAGACTTAGAGGAGGGGGAGGTGAAGAGCTATGCGATCGAAACTTTTATGGAGAGTCTGCCACAGTTCCTGTAATTAACACTTACAAAGAATTCGTTGAAGTTCAAAATGTAAACGGATCTTGGGATACTGAAGTCCTCAGACTTGTAGGATTGTCAGATGACAAAGTTTACGATGCTGCTCCAGAGAACATCAAGGGTCTTGGAGACAAACAAAAGGTCCTCACCATAATGTTTACCTGGATTGGGATAAATAGAATCAAGACCTTGTTCCCAGAGAAACAGAGAGAGTGGAAGTTGATCATTAGAAAAGCCATATCCTATATTACAGCTCAGACAGGATCATCTGTCAGTTATGATGACATAAAATGCTCTCTTTTCTAAACACTCCACTGAGTTTCCAAGACATGAAAATTTACACTTTGAGATATTAGTTCTGAAATAATATCATTGCCTTCAATAAGAGTTATTTTCATTTTATACCATTCCATAAATTCCCATTTTTATCATTAAACAAAGCTGCAAAATTCTTAAGTCCTAAAAGAGGTAGCACAATTATACCAATGCTACACAAATCACCAATTCACAACTAGTTCTTCTCCAGACCTATCAGCATAAAATACTTCTTCCAACACAATTCGAATCTAATTTCCCAACCTTAGAATCCCTTCCTAAAATCCCATAAAGAGGGTCTTACCATTTTCCTTCCGAACCAATTTGAGCAAGGGATTGCCTAACGAGTATTTATTTCCTCTATTTCCCCAAATATTTATCAACCGAGCCTGACTTATTGTTCATTCAGGTGCCAATAGAGTTTATTTAAGACGTCAAAATTTAGCTTTTGGTTATTCAATGTGGCTGGTTACTATGGAGACTGGTTTTGTGGTCAGTAATATTTAGTATATGTGTTAGCCTCATGTGTTGATAAAGACGGGGGTTGGATGATAGAATTGCAGTTTTTTTGAGATTTTTTATGTAGATTTAAGGTAGTTTATAGGGAAGTATGGATCTGATGCTGATTTTAAATACAGTAAATAATCAACCTCAAGAAACTCTATTTAGTAAGTTGTTCCTTTCTGACAAAGTGGCTCTGATAACTAGAAGCTAGAATTTAAATTGTTTGACCTTTGGAACGCATTTCTGATCTGGCTTCTTTTGTTTATGATCCTAGAGGTTTTAAATATCGTACTGCTTCTTGAATTAGTTCTTAAAGTAAAATGCTGCTCTGTTAATGAGCACATAGAAATAAATAATGTCTAAATAATTTTCTCTTCCAAAATTTGGCTGGTTGATTCTTTTTATTTAACCTATTCCTTAAACAAAGCTTAACTATTCTACCTAAGTTACTCTTGATCATAGAATCGTCTTAATGTAAATGCACTGGATTTGCTTTAGTCTCTTCTACCAAAGGAGTATGATCCAAACTTTCCTCTTGTAGAAGAGCTAAGTTTAAACTTTGTTGCATAAGATATTTTCATCTATTCAATTTAAAGAATTATAACAGGGGTTTTGGGGTTTTGGGGTTTTGGGGTTTTGGGG